GTTTTTAGTTCAATGAGTTACAACAACACCTCATTTACCTCTGGGATCAATAAAGTATTTTTGAATTGAATTGAGTGTTAATTAGGTGTCAACAATAGCCATGTGATGTGAGTATCAGTCACATGGAGGCAGGACTCAAAAGCCTGAATTTAGCCTGAAACTCTCAGACTGAAGAAGTCTCTTGGAGGAGAGACGAAACATTTCATTARAGAAGAACCCGTCCAGAAGACCTATACTATTTTTTTCTTTTTGATTTTTACCTGGATTACTGAGATGCATCAGGACATAAGTTTATTAAGTTTATTAAGTGAGTTCCAGGAGCTGAGCCAGCTTTAAATACGTCTGTCTCAGATCCTGTTCTAAATGTCTCTGTGTTTAAATCTAAATAAGCTCATGACTCGTCCTCACCGGTTGTGATGTCATCAGTTCCTGACATTATGGAGGCGGAGTCAGTCAGTCTCACCTGCTCTGTGTTTGTTTCAGCTGACCAGGTGTACGGGGATCAGGACATGCACGAGGTGGTGAGGAAACACTGTATGGATTACCTGGTGAGTCCACCTCCCGTCTCCTGACCTCTCAGCCAATCAGCTGACCCATAACCCACCTGTGTCCCACCCTCAGATGAAAAACGCAGACTACTTCTCCAACTACGTGACGGAGGACTTCACCACATACATCAACAGGAAGAGGAAAAACAACTGCCACGGCAACCACATCGAGATGCAGGCCATGGCCGAGATGTACAACCGTCCTGTGGAGGTGTACCAGTACAGCACAGGTGAGTGAGCCCGCCCCCGCCTCACGGCCAGCCAATCAGAGTCCGCTGTCCTCACTGTGCTCCGCCCACTCCCGCAGAGCCAATCAACACATTCCACGGCATCCACCAGAACAACGACGAGCCAATCAGAGTGAGCTACCACCGCAACATCCACTACAACTCTGTGGTGAACCCCAACAAGGCCACCATCGGGGTGGGCCTGGGCCTGCCCGCCTTCAAGCCCGGGGTAACAGAACCAGAACACACACACACACACACACACACACACACACACAGAACAGCAGGAAACACACCGACCTCTCAAATCAAAGACAATCAGAAGAAACCGTTCTGGTGTCTAATTCTGCTGTGTGTGTGTGTGTGTGTGTGTGTGTGTGTGTGTGTGTGTGTGTGTGTGTGTGTGTGTGTGTGTGT